AATATACTATAATATACTCTTATTAATAGCACGTCAATATGTTAAAACGTATGAAATGTTAGTATAGAGTTACTTAGTACTAGAAACAGTTTAAAATTATAATTGGCTAGAGAGCAGCCTTCCCCGTTTTCTTACCGCCATTAGTGGCAACTAAGTGTCATTAGAATGCATGGGCCACCGCATATTATCCAATTATTTCTAACCTTTCAGGCCGCTTCAGTAATTACTGTGTTGCCTTTAGCCTGGAGAATTCGTGCTTTTCATAAATGACTGGTTTATTAAAAAATTGGTACGTTTTAGTGAACGATTTGAGAACATTGTTGTTTATAGGCAAACTACATTTTGTGACATTACTGTACTTTTAACAATATAATCGGTGTGTTTTGACCTCTTTATACAAACACCAATTTACCTTTTTATATGTACGTGTTCAGGTTTAGATGCAAGAGACTTTTTTAAATAAGTTTTTCACTCTTACGCTACAATGACCCAAAGTTAAAAAATACTAATTACTCTGTAGGTTAATAGCGTTAAAATGAAACTTTTTTGACGGTTTAAAACGCGCCCACGTTTTTAAGTTAACTCATTAATTTCGCGTCTTAAACCCGTAAAAGTAGTTTATTAAAATATGTACTACTCGCGAAAATTACAGACTATTAAAGACTAGCCTTTGTAATAAATGTCGGACGTTGACGTTTAGCTGCGACATCTCCACTGTAAGTTTAAACCACATGACAGTCTAAGTGATTGTGATGGCTGAAGGCTTTAATGAATTATTTGTGGCTCGCGTGCACCAATCGCCGCTAATTACTACTTATGTTATGACGTGGCTCTGATTCCAAACTAGCCGTAATTACTTTCGCCTGTTTTCGTAGTGTGCCTGTAACTATTTTTGTTTTTACGTAGTTGATAACTTACGTTTAAACGAAACTACAACTTTACCGTCACTGTATAAGATTGCATTTATTTAAAACAATATAACTATATGTTGCTATTAAAGTAAAGCACCTTAACGGTTTAAAACGCGATTTATATATAATTTATATAACTTATTTGACTTGAAACTCACTACGGCCCGAAGTTTCGGATGCTTTGCAGCAGTAGTGGTCCCCGTATATGCTGTTAAAGTATATATTGTTATTCGAAAATGCAAAATGATTGTCTTGGTATTTCTACTAAGCGGCTCGACTGATTTTAAAGAAATTTTGTACAAACATTTCGATGTTACAATAGTGCGTAGTACAACTTATTATAGTTAATTATGATCTTGTCTATTATCTTATGTTAGATATGCAAATATCGCATTTGTGTAATACAGGGTGTATTTTAATGATTTCTGTCTTTTAGGCCTTATATTTGAGGTTAAAATTAGTAAAATAATGCTATTTATTTTTATTTTGTTTTTAAAGTTGAAAATACTGGCACGCGATGTTTGACGGTATTCTATATTATAAGACGTTAATTATGTTTTTTTTTGACAAAAAAATTTTAAAGACGTATCTTTCTCTAATTAAACTCGAGTACCCTTCGAGTAATTGATATTAAGAGCTCACCAATCGGATTCCTTGAGGAGTCGCTAATTGAAATTCGATTTACATCCCCTCCCATTCAGCCTTCTGATTAAAAGTATTCGTGAAAATACAAATAATAAAATTACAATATCGCTAACGACGTCTCATCAGAATCCTTTTATATTTCGGGGAATAAATTAAAGCCTAGCAAGGGAAAGAAAGCCAGTAGACCGCAAACAAGCGACTAACGATTTCGCGATACTTTTAACTTACTATTATTATGAGTTGTAAAGATTTCTTTAGCCCTTTTCGCGAGGGTGTAACAGAGGTAAGGCTGTGGTCTGCTAGAAAAGCTATAATACTTACATACAACGATAAAAGACGGGCTCGTTGGTGTAATGCCAATGTACAATCAACGGATCGTGGATTCGATCCCCGCCGGGTCCAACATTTGCTAATCGTTTTATAATTCTGAAACATGCTGGACGTCGTCTGGAAAGCTGGACATTGAATGGGTGGTAATAACTAAACTCCTTCATTAACTAAAGTCTTAACCTACGGTCCATACATGAAAAAGCTCTGAATTTCAATTGTGTTTCAGTTTTACTCTGTGGATTTCCGTATATCCAAAGACAAAATAGATCGACAGCGTGTCTTGTCGATTATACGGGTGGGGTATTTACCTACCATCAAGAGAGCGCCATGCTCGTCTTAAGGTTTTACTGATTTGGTTTTCTTTATGGTGCGCTAGTTGGTACCACATACCCTGTGCAGTGGAATGAAAAATTGCTCCATTTTGAGGATGGATGACGCGAATTAAGAAAGCAATTACTCATCGGCGGAGCACGGGGGTGGAATGTTAATAAGACAAGACCATGAATGCTATTTTTCTTCGACTACGAACGCCAATGAATACTAAATTAGAACGATAGCATTACTTATAGCGGCTGGAAAATGATTGAGGTTCATATTGTCATACGAGGATCTTTGTTTACAAAATTAACTGCGACTGAAAGTTTTCTTTGAAAAAAAATGAATTTAGATGCGAATATGTAGAAATTTATGTATTTTTTTCAGTAAAGTGAATATTTTTGTAATGTTAGTTACACAGAATAGATAATCTTATTTAAAGTCAAGCATTAACGCATTAAATACGCTGTGAAGGATTAATAAATAAATATCCTAAAATCGTATTAAAATAGTTGACACTAGCTATGCCAGCGACATCGCGGAGAATAGTTACTTGGTGCAACCAAATTTGTATATGCATTCCATCTTTTTAAAGTTAATCTGTTACCTAAGACGGAGGTTGCGTCGCGCCGTTCTTGCAAGTGCATCGTAAAACATAGACATATTGTGTCAACAACATTTTTTTAGATCATTCAAAGAGGAATCATTATTTCTCGTCTTTGTAAACCGTTTTCGCATCGCATGGGTAACACACAAAAATGAATAATTTTATCCATTTTTTTCTCCACTTACCGCTGTATCTTCGCTCCTAGTAGTCATAGCGCGATATTTTATAGCCAGCTTTATAGACTTCCTCGATAAATAGTCTATTCATAACACCCAATTTTTTCAATTCGAACTAGTAGTTCCTGAGATTAGCGCGTTTAAACAAACAAACTCTTCAACTTTATATATCAGTATAGATATGTATGTCTTAATTTAGTGTGACGTCACCGCTCGTAGGCCGTAGCAGATCGTAGCTGTTAAAAGCCCAATAACCTGACAGGATGACACATTTCATTCGGCCGTCGTAATTAAGCCGGCTCGGTGTTAATTATACTCGACGCTGGCACACCTAGCAAAGTATGTCGTCGCTTAGCCGTTAACGATCTTAACACATACTTGGAGCTTCGGTATTGAGTGTTCGTGCTATAAAAAACATTTATGCACGTTAGTAACTTAGTACAGTCAATGTAAGTTATAAACAAATCAGTCTATAATACATTTCATATAAATATATAATTGCTGATCAGGGAAATGTTGTTTTGTTGTTTACAAGATTAAAATTATGTTGATACAACTCTAACAGATAAATGGCAATAATCTACAGGTACTTATGTAATAAAGCAGTAGAGTTTGTTTGTTTGAATGCGCTATCTCAGGAACTACTACTTAGACTTCAAACATTATTTTTGTGCTAGAACATTAATCGAGAAAGGTTTCAGGCAACATTAGGCTGCAGCCAATAGCAGCAAAGAAACAGGTAATTTTGGAAAAAATTTAGAAAAATTATTAATCTTTGAGGGTTTCCGTTGCGTGCCCCGCGAAAACGGTTCAAGATACCCCAAATATATGTATCATTAAATTCTCCTTTAAAAAATCTAAAAAAAATGTCCACTACAGTATAACATCTTTAAAAAAAACTCACAAGAATCAAATCATTCGTAATGAAATTTCGTCGAATTATAATGCTTGCCAGGTCGGCTAGTATTCATATAAAACCAAACAAACACATTTCTGTGTCCGTTCCATTGATAGTTTTATTAGTGCAGAGGTAAAAAACATTTCGAAAACAAGTTATCAATAATGATCGTCCTGAGCGATTTCTTAGTCTTATCGCGACATAATGTTGTTTACTCAGTCCCCACACAAAGGCATTAAACAACCGCCAACCAAATTAAGGTAAGTAGAGCTGAAAACTTGCAGAAACAAAACTTCCATAATCTTATTAGACCGCAGACAACGTCTAATCTCGCCATCAGCTAATTAATCCGAGTTGATTTTGTGAAAAAGTTTGAACCGGGGAAGTAATTTCGCGCGGGCGCTAGTGGGGTCCGAACTTCACACTTAGCTCTCTCGGTAAACACTCATGACGGTTCCTAATTAACGGACGCAATTAGTGGCGAGGCGGGGGGCGGAGGGTGGCGGGAGGAGGGCAGTGATAAGTGGCTAAGAGCGGAAAAAGTTGGAAAACTGGAGGATCGTGCGCCGCGTCGCGCCATTGTCTCGTTACACATCTCTGTATAAACAATTATGTATTGCTTGTGATAGTCATTGGAAAATGGGGGATTATTCGGGGGAAATTGAACTCGAATGGAATTTTGCGTATGTAGAAGTATTAATATGGAAATTACTAATAACTATTTTGAAGGTTGAATACGATAGCCACGTTAAAATAATTTTAATTGATTAATTACTATTTTTTTTCTTCTGAATGGTTCTGCTATATATATATATTTATAATAGAGAAAATCAGTCAAGCATAGAATTCACTTGATGGTAAGTGAATCCTATGCTTGTCTAATCCACAATCCACAGACCGACGCTGAAACGCCATTATAGGTACTACACGGCTTATCAGTGGACGGTGGTTCGATACCCGGCGGAAATTTCATAATACTAGGCCCAGTAAATATCCAGATTTCCACACGAAGTTGGACCCGGTGGGGATCGAACCCGCGACCCGTTGTTTATTAGCCTTACATTGCTACTATTACACTAACACAATAGTAATAGAATACTGGTGAGGATTAGTGAAAAATGCGATGGAAAAGTCTCGAAGAAAAAGCTCTTCGTACGATTGTGTTTTGTTATGACAGCGCTAGCTGGCAACGCGGGTTCGGCGACCCCACTCCGAGTTTTAATGATAAAAAAATGCGTACAGGGGAGGCGGGTAAGTGCCATCGAAGGAGGGAAAAAACAGCAGGAGAAAAATATTTGGCGCGACAGGTTAGGCCCCGGCCGGGGGGACCTTGATAAAAATTAAATCTTAACGACGGAAATTTAAAGATGACGCTCGAACGATCAAGAAGAGTGCACATCTGAGCCCGAGGGCGTTTTAATTGGGCGAAGTGTACTGAGGACGGAGAGCTTGGAGCGTTTTTTATAAACGTTGATTGATGGCTGCGACCTTAGCGAATCCAAACTACAGCACAACGACAATATGTATCTATTGAGCACCTGTTTTACAGTCTCTTTTCCAAACTACTTGAATAAAACCTATATCTGTACATACATGTATAAATACAGATTATATTGTCGTTTTTTAATTTAGAACAAACGCTCGATTTACAATCTGTTTTTCAAGTGACTTACGAAGTGAATAAAACCTATATGTGTGTATATATATATATAGATAAAAATTTATTTCTTTATCTGTATATATATACTTTTTTACACTCTGTTGTCACCTTACTTATTAAGTGAATAAAACCCATAGCTGAGAATATAAATACAGATTAGATTGTAATTTTGAATTTCGAACAAACGCTTTATGACACTTTGTTCAAGCTATTCACAAATTAAATAAAACCTATAGCTAAGTACAAATTTAGAACAAACGCTTTTCTTCAATTAGGAATTTGTATTATCTGTAGCGAAATTGGAGGTAAAGTATGGACTAAAATTTACTATTGCGCAGTAGCATTAATTCGTTAATTTCATTCCTAAGCATTAATAGTATATTTTCGTAAAAAATGGCCGTGCTTTATATATAATACGATTGTTTTTCTTTGAACATTTCCTATAGAGCTATAAGTGAGGGTATAAAATAAAAAGGGATTTTATCACATCTAAAGCAATCTATTCCTCTGTAACAAAATTATTTACAGCCAGCGATCAACACGGAATTACGTCAACATCTCAAATTCTAGCGAATTGAAATTCAAATGGACTTGCAGAAGATTTGCATCGGGCGGAATCGAATATTGATTTCCTACATCTTGGGGCTACCAATGCATACTTGTTTAAAGTTTTTATTTCGCTCTTCGCCCGTTTTTTGTTTCAGCCACTCTCCCTCGCGAGCGCCCCTAGGGTCCCTCTTGCATAAAAAAGCTTCTAATCGATAATTTGTGTGGGGGTGCATTAAGCATATCGCCAGAAATGCTCGAATGTTTTTTTCAATGCTTTGAGATTTCACCCTAGGGCTATTTATGTTGGCCATCTTTGTAATTGAAGAGGAAAATTCGCCGTTTCCGATCGTACATTACGTTTACACTGATTAAAAGGCGTTGTTTGCGTCTGAAATAATTAACTGAGAGATAACACGGAAGTATAACTAACGATAAGATAGGTACTATATATAAAATAAACTGCGCTCCTTAATGGTATATCCAGTAAGACTGGCAACATACAAACAATTGAGTTATATTTCACAACGATGAAGTTAATTGACGTTTTCGCGACGTGAAAGCCATAAGGCTGATTGAACTATTCATAAAGTACTGAAGGGGCTAAATGATTTTACAATTGGAATGAGCCATTATCTGTCCGGTATAACTCAACATTTTCAAACTTGGAAGTCGAGTTTATCATCTTTTTCATGACGTCAACTCCGGAATAATATCGTTTTTTCTCGGACTAAGGAGCTCGGTTCTTGAACATTTTGATCTTAACTATAAACTCCCTTGATGTCTAAGATATGTTTAAAATACGATTAAAGCAACTGAGTTACGAGAATTTGTAAACTTCTTTGTTAAATGAAAACCTGTGTGTGTAAAATAAAATATGAATGTATTCAATGTGTTATATGTTATTGCACATGATGTTACTATATAATTAAAAAATCGATAATCGTATTATTGCTCTGTGTGCACGAAACTCTGTGGTTGCCGATTCAAATCCTGCCTGAGTCATATTTTTTTTATTTATCGATTTTTAATGGTTAAACGTCTTGCCAAGCAATGCGTTAAACGCGAGACGACAGACGTGAACTACTTGCCTGTTAGTCTCTAGTCAGACAGAAAACAGACATAAAAATAGGATTTTGCTAATCATGCACACACATTTATAGCCTATAGTTTTAGCTTAACTGAAGCCGAAAACAAAAGCTCGCAAAACGCCCATATCGGTTCTTTTGAAACTCGATTTGGGAGTTGCATAGTGTCTTATTTGACAGCGTTTAAGTTAGTGCGAAGATGCAATCAGCGGCGTGGATGCGCTTAACTGCCAATATCAGATGCATTGGCCATTGTATTTTCTTTATGCTTTTTACGGAGGGACGAAACGATAATGTTTTTTATGGCGAGGGTCGTCTAATCAGGGTACGGTGTGATTAAACACGACGTTGTTTTGCTTTCACTTATTGGATATTGTTACTGCGGTTCTGTGTTTATACTCTTAAACGGAAAGTATTGTGTAATAATATTGTGTTTTAAAATAGTTCGTTGCTCACTTGTCAATATGTTTAAATATTAATTTAAAAGTTTCTTTAGAACTATAAAACTCACTTAATGTTATGTTTAGTTAAAAATCTCGAAAAGTATAACTACTTAATACATGTTCTGAAAGTACACGGTAATATATCTGCCACAAACGTAATACCTAACTCTACAATTTGTTTTAAGTAATCTATAAAAACAAATACTTTGATAAATCAATTTATAGTTAATTAACTTCTTTTATCGTTATGATTATTTGATAGTTACATCTTGGTTGTATTTCCAGACTATATCTCACTTGGAGTTATTAAGAAACAACTGTTATACCAAAACTGTGTTTAATTCGGTGAGCTCTATACAAACTAAAAAAGATCGTTTTACGTTTTAGATAATATTATAGAAGACAAATATCCAAAACTACAGTTCAATAAGTTATATAAAAAATATTTTCACAACACACTCGAAAATAACATTTCGTCGAAGACGTAAATGTTGGGAACAAATTTATCTCTCAATGTTGCCAAGAAGCGTAGAATTTTAATTGTAATTATATAAATTGTTGGCCCGTTAATTTATTCACCTAATAAACTGAGTCGAGTGTGTTCTATTATTTTTGTTAGGCTACCGTCAGCTATAAACGGTGTAAGTCGAGTATAGCGTTACGTTAGCGGAGATAACAATGTAAAAATGTACTTTTGTCTCCCTCTCTTCACACTTTACGTCAAGTTAGCAAGTAAAAGCTTTTCACTGCAGTTAATTAAAAGCATAGAAAAAATACTTTAAATCTATAAAAAGTTAGTTACATTTACTGTTATCATTTCAAGCAAACTACATAGACAACTTCTTTTTAATTATTGCAAAAGAAACATTGATTTTGAAGCGAAGGGTATTTTTGACTACTGTTTTTAACGAGGCAATGACTTTATATAATATACACTGATAGCATGCATCCTAAAATAATGTGTTATGCTATACGCGGCTTAAAGCATTTATTGGAGACCGCAGCCTAAGACCGAAAATATCGCGCCGTTGACGTCAATCGACCGTTGTAATTTTTCTAATTGTCCATTTTCAAATAACGTAATAAGTAGATGCGTTACGTGGTCTGCTCTTGATCAAGTTGTATAAATACATAGGATTATTTAATTGCGCTATTAAAATAGCTCATTGTTTACGTTAATCGTGGCCGTGACGTATTTTCTGAGATTTATTTAGGAAAGAAATGAGAACGAAATATTTTCAGATACAAAGAGTAGTAAGCTTTTTAAGATTAAGATATCTATTGAGATTCAGTTGTGGTAGGTTAACGGTACGTTAGCTATAAGTTCGATAGGCGTTTCAAACTTTATTATTAGTAAACAAAAATTCTTCGAATTTGAAATTTTAGCATCAAAAGTCACATTCATCTAGACCGCTATTTTCGGTAATAAACAAATAATTACAGCCACACATCTCCGATAACATAAGACAATAAAAACGTATCCACATAACGTGCGTAAGTATACAAACATCCATTTCCACGCGTACGCCAGCATAATGACTCAAAACGACAATTCAAGACGGAGTTTTTCATAAAACGAGGTATATGAGTCAAGAACATGGGAGTCATAAACATGAGTGTACCCCACAATTTCACCCCTTACACGAAAAACTCACCCCCGCACGTAGAAACAAAAAAAGGGCACCAAAGGGACACCACGCATCCCAAGTAAGCTGAGTTGAGGCTGGGGTCTGCAGATGTCTTTAATGGCTTTAAATTATATGTAGAGAGAGCTAACTGCTCTCGTTGGTGATAGATAGTAGCGGATATTGCTTAAGAATTCGAAACGGTATTCGATTTGGCGATTGGGGCGGGGACATGTTGGGAGCGAGAGCGGTAAGATGATTTTTAAACTCATTTACTCGATACAATTTTACTATTCATTTTAGTAATTAACAATAATGTACGTTAGGATAGATCATAAGTACTAATTTAATACTACAACTAGTGGAATGCCTGGAAGGGTATATAAGACCTTATTAACGATAGTCTAGGATTGCTAGTCAGTTTCAATAACTGTATGACCGAAGAATATATAACGGACCTACCTTACGATGTTCGTAATATATCTTGAGTTAAAAGTTTAATAGAGTGCGAAGCAAATCTTAAAGTAGTCCGGGTACACTAATTTTCAAAAAGGAAAACTAGTGTCTATTCTATATATTTAGTGGTTATTTTGAAAACATAGAACACATTATACCCTATAACTGTAATTCCTTTTAAATTTTTTCTTCTCAGTAATGCATTTTTGTGGAAAATATTGATCGAACTCTTATAAATATAATTGTACTTTATTGTTATATGTCGTTTCTTATAAACTGTTTTCCCGTTATACAGCTATCAACTCATACACGCTCAAGTGTGCATAAATCTTCAACTTTGCGACTTCATTAAGTAGAAAAATAGCAAGAAATTGTGAAATAATCACAATTACAGTATGAGAATCGTCATTATAAGTGATTACGTAAATGCATACGATTTCTATGATACGAGGTAGCGCTGTTTTCCGCTTCGCTCGTCGCGCCCCGCTGAGCTCGTTAATGTAATCGCTGCTTTGTTTCAAATTAAATAGGTAGTCTACTAACGATATCTCATTTATGTAATTTCTAGTTATTAGCCTAGACATACATGGTACCTATAAGTCTTAGTCAATTGAATTGTGTTGTTTGAATACTTGACTTTTTATAATATCTGTCAGAAAAAAATATTGGTATATTTTTACTCGGAATAGCATTTTGAGTCTTTCTATAATTTGATGACAAATATACAAATAATATTGAAGGGCTTACATTTGTAGTAGGCACTCTGTGTAAATTTAAATATCGATTATGAATTGAAAAATATTTTGTGACTCTGGCAGGACTTGAACCGGCACCACAGCAACATGTGAAGAATATTAAAGTTTTTACTCTGTCTTAATTATATACTAAATACATATATGTATTGGGAGGTAAAACAGATATAAAAGATTTTTTGAAGGATTCAAAAATACTTAACCTTCCTGAATGTTATTGCTTGATTCATTGCTTTAGAGATAAGATAAAACTGTTGTTGTAACTTCAAGGTCAAACGACAACATCGATGTCTCTAGTCTAAATCTAATTATCATAAAGGTGTGTGTAATGAAACCCCTCCCTTTACAGGTGTAAATAATGTTATTGTTCTAGTTCTATTAGCACCTGTAGATAATGGTATAAAACCACGGATGTGCACGGTTCATTGCAAATCTGTGCGTGCTCTAATGCAGTGGTGTAAAACAATACACCATTTTCCATGTACCGTTGCACCTTTCTCTATTGTTGTAATGGCATCGATGGAATGACAATTATTACTCTGTGGTATTTGTATATTAATAGGATCTATACGTAGATGTTAGTGAAATCCCGTTTCTATCATCGTGGTGGTGGAAAACACATTATGTATCCCCAGTTGTGGTGTTCAAGTTAAATAATCTCTATCTGTCCGTTGACAAAAATTTATTGAGTATTTCCAGGATTCGAACCCAGCTGCTGAAGCTGTCAAAGTGCTATCGAATTAGGTTGGCTGTTGTTCAAGATGTTTTATGCTTAGCTGGATTCTTGTATCTTCGTTATCTTTGTTAAATACATATGCACTTAACAGTATGGCAGTTTTCTCATGTAATAATATCTTATACACATAATTGAATGATTATCTATGGGAAATTAAAAATACAATACTTACAAAATATACGAAGAAATAGGTAAATTACATCTATTGTCAGCTCACCTTCTGCAACAAAAAGAACGGTTTCAATTACAAAATTATTCTCAAAAACACAATACTAGCAACAAAGGCCGAAAGCTCGCTTCCCTGTTTCTCATAGATACAAAGAAATCCGTCTTTAGCCGATATTTATAAAATATGTGTGACAATTATCGGTACACGACGTTAATAACCTTCTTACATTGTGTAATTCCCCCTTGCTAAAGAAGATTTATTCGCAAATTACTTATAAATTCGCCAAATTTCACTACATCGGGCTCGCTTATAAAAATGTATTTAAAACGTCACTGGAGGATATGATTTATAGCGACCGAGTGTCGTAAATTTGTCCACTTACACTAAGACGGGGGTAATCATTTTATAAGAAGCTTTTACATTAAGATCTATGTATTTTAAGGCGAACAGCTAGAGCCATTTAGAAATGAAAGTAATTACGTTACATATGTAAGTAAATTGAATTGTATTCAAAGAAAACAAATTTAATCGTTTGAAACGCGAAATATAGTAGGTGCTTAAATAATTTTTAACAGACATTTCGGATATTTTTTGCATTCCACTTTCTTTTGCGATTAAAACCGTTTAATTTAAAAGAGTACTACTACTACTTTATCTATTCTAAATTTGTTTGTAGTTGTCCTTGTAGGTATGAATAATTTAGAAAAAGAGTCCTTTAATAAATAACAGATACAATTAATTAACAGTCAATAACCACAGATACCACTATTACAAGTTTTCAATCAAAAACCATAGCCTACTAGATCATTAGCTTATTGTTATCTGTGTAATATAAAAAATGTCAACCGTCTATTTGACAGGTAATAATAGACATGGGAATATTCATGTTTCGATTTAATACACATCCGTTAATTTATGCAAGACGATCTTTTGAATTAGAAAAAAAGAGAGGCCCTCGTCAAAATCGCAAGTGTCACCCAACACTTTCGTGGGGACGACAATCGTCAACCCCAATGCGACGTGTCATTGTGTTCCTTACTTCTGTCACTTAAAAGACTTTTTTAAAACGGCCAGGAACAAAAACTGTCTAATTGTAACAGTTTTTTGCACGAAATTTTAAGCTCGATTATTTTTTCCTTTGTCGCGACGAATGTTGGATGTTTTTGGTATTGATTTGGACCGTTAGAAAGATTGACATTTGAGACCGTGCCTCCATTGTGTCTTGACATTATAGGGATTTTAAAATTGTATATTATGTGCGTGCACTGCCAAAACGAGGATGTGTTTTTTAGCCTATATGTTATAGGTACACAATCAGGTGAAGATTTTAAATTTTACATAATTTCATTTTATACCAGTACGTCAAAGCTTATAATGAATCGATTGCCCAAAATTATTTTAATCTTATAAAAATCCTTTTTCAACATTAAATTGTAAAATCTCGGGATATCGTGCTAAATAGTTTGACTTAGTCTAGAAAATTAGTTTATGAATAAAACACATACATTGAAAGTATTAAGATTTTCACATGTGTGGCACGCGGTGGCATTGTATAAATATAAATTTATTTTGACTCGAACCGACGTCCACAGCATTCCGTGCTGCTGCTCAACCCAATGAGAAACTTTATCTTAATTGCATCTATGTCGTAGATTTTTTACATTAAACATTTTAATTAGCTGAAAAAGTTATTTTTTATATTTTTAATCTGTTTCTAATCATTGCTGAGTAAGGACAACACGCAGACTATAGATGATGTATAGAGATATGATGAGTAGATATATTTTTATGGTAAAAGTGGTTATAAATATTTTAATCAAGCAACACACCTGTGCGGGTAGGTGAAAATATCGAAGCATGCAATTAAACCAATCCGATCGATCGGAAAGGGGTTCTTATAATCGCATAAAGGAGATCCGGTCCGATCCGGATTTCTATTATTTATAGTTTCCGATCAAAGTTTGAATACGCCTTAATTATCGGGTGCAGTGTGACACCCTTAATGTTTTCTTTGCTTTCACGTTGGAGAAATTTCACGCTGCTTAATATCAACGGTTTTAGGGGACAGCATAATTAAGGCATTTCTATGGAAAACCAAAATCTGGCCATTTCCATTTGTAATAAATGTAGAGTTATATTTAAAACTAGCTGTGTCAGTGAGTTCGTCCACGTCATTTAGGCATCATTAGGCAATTGCTTTACACGCTCGCGTCCCATTGTTCTTGCAAGTTAATCAAGAAATAATAAAAGATAGACATATAGTGTCACTCATATTTTTAACTGTTGGACAATAGAAAACAAATCAAACATGTCCTTAAATGTAAAATAAGAAAATCATTGAGATATAATCTACTTTCGCCGAACGGTGTTAAATTTTTATTAAAATACATATTTAACCCGAGACCTTAGGCTAACAACAATGCCTGTGTCTACCATTGTTGAAAGATTGTAAGTCTTAGGTTGAATTTTGTGATAACTTGGAAACAAAATGTAACGGACACAGAATAGTGGCTGTCCTGATCAAATGGTATTAATTGATTATATCGAACAAAATACTTATACTTCCAGCAATAATTAATACATATTAGCATCTAGAACCATATAATGTTACCTAAGTAATAATTTAATGTAATATAAAATATCTCTTTTGCCTCCTCAGACATATTCATATTGTATGCAAGCTCTTTTGAGAGCCGTTACAAGGGGTGTGCTAAGGATACCTTTAAAATGCCAAAATTGTTTTGAATTGTGCTCAAAAAGCGTGAAGATTTTGTGAGGATTAAGCTAGACGTTTCGAACGCTTCTCAAAAAGTTAAAAAATAATCAAAATTCAAATATTGGTTGAGTATAAGTTTATTCTTTTACTAGCTGTACCTTGTTCTGAAGTTTAACGCAGTGCATTGCGTTAAGCGTGAGAGGTCCTAAAAAAACAAAAGTTATAGTTTCGATCAGACTTAGGACCTAAATTTGATTACTTACAAACAATTTACATAGTGCATGCCTTTTATGCTTCATTATAAAGACATATATTAATTATGAATATGTATGTTTTTTAAATAAAACACTTTAACGGTTTAAAACGCGGGGAGTCTCCCCGTGACCACGGCTGCTGCAAAGCATCCGAAACGTCGGGCCGAAGTTAAAAATCATTTTCAAATAAGTTTAACTAATATATCGCGTTTTAAACCGTTAAAGTGTTTTATTTAAATGTGTACTACTCGCGTAAACTATAGACAGTATTTAATATGTATGTTTGTTTACTAAATTAAACATCTAAACAGGAAGATTCATTTAAAGTTACTTAGCCACTAAGGGAAGGTACTAAAGCTGTTTGGAGCCTAAAGCCTAGTTCCAAAAAGGTACTCAAACATGGGTTTTTTGAGAACCGCTGGACGAAGTCATTTCCATCAATCAACCCTACACTAAGAATTGCAAGACGACACATTTGTATCCCCCCACAGGATTATCGAACAATTTTTAATCCCAGCACAATGTATGCGGAACCAAGGGTAAGCAAACGGGGATTGAAAAATTACATTTTGGTTAACTTCCTCGAAATAGTTAAGTTTATTCGCTCAGAATTATAAATGTGTTTGTTTTGTTAACACAACGCTCGATTGAGTATCGGATCTCAACAAATATAACTGTTAAGGGCTGTTGTCGCTTTTATAAGGGAAAATGTATTAAAGGTTTTCATATACATCTAGATACGTATACATATTTGTCAAACGTCTCAGTTGTAAAACATCCTTGCTTTAGCATAAATTGTACTGGGTTTGAAGCCCCGAAGAATATATTATAGTGTTTCGATTAATAGAATTGACAATTCATAGATTAATATTTCACTAACCACAGACAACTTAAATAAAACAGATCAAAGTATTACGTCATTGTCTTTACAATTAAATTTTCTGAGTGGGGCAAAAATATTGAATATTCGTGGGTAGATAGAATTTTCGTCCGTCTACGTATGGAGCAGTTGCAAAGTGTTAATCCACGTTTCAGTTTCAGGAATTTCTGTATGTCAAATCCGAATTAGTGTATGTGTAAATAATTGTGAAATAAATAAAACTATTTAGAGTAATGCATTTTACACATTCGAAAATTATTTTTTCTACGCTTCGAAGACGCTCTTATCAAAGCAGGAACACCACTAAAAAACGAATTCGCACGTTATCATTCGATACGTCAAAGTACCGACTCAAAATGTTATGACATCGAAATCTGACGGCGCCCTAACGCGGTAACCGTAAAATAACCATTTCTGACATGTTATATGGCCTCTAAAACGTACGTAGCGATGCACGGGTTAAATAGCTATCTAAATGTGTATTAAAATCGAACTGATACAAACTACTCGAGTGGAAACCGTAAAAAATCACCCCGTGTGCGTAGAGTTAAGAAGTTCTTAGACTCGATTACGAATTTTTTGTAATTTTGACGGGCGCGTTGGGTCGTGGATTCGAGTCTAGCCGGATCAAACATTAGTCTAATCAATTTTAAGTTTTTCTAAAACGTGTTAGACTTCGTCTGGAAATCTGCATATTAAATGAGTTGTAGAAATATCACATTCCGTCCGGGTCTTGAACCACCGTCTACAGATAAAAATTGCCGACACGTAAT